ACTTAGGGACAGTTCATCTGCCTTGATGCCGATTGCAGTCATTGTCGACTTTGGCATGATGTTTATGGCTGATCCACCATCCACAAGCATGCGGTTGACTTTGTGCCCTTCTACATACCCAGAGACGAAGAGAGGACGGTTGTGAGGCTTGGATCCTAGCAGCAAGTCTTCATCGGTGAAATGGATTGCGTCCTCAATGGCACAACATGTGGCACATTCATGTGGCCGAGGCTTCAAGCCTTCGTTCTTGCTTTCTTGCGCTTCGTGTTCATTGGGACTTTCCAAGACAGCTGCTAATGCTATTCGCATCTTCTTTGGTAATCGTAACGCTTCCTCAATGCTAAAGTGTGTTGGCAGACCTTCTTCGAGTGTGAAAGTTTCTTCTCCTTTAGTGGTGATATCTTTGCCTTTTGAAGGTTCTTCCATTTCTACTTCGACCATATGGCATGTAGCGATAGTGCACTGTTAGAAGAAGTCATTCGGGAAGTACTCGTACAAGGAGACAGGAATGCGTGGCTCTTGCTCCATAGGTTCCCCAGCATACGTTGGCTTATTGATTTTTCCGTTTCTTCTAGGCTTCCTACTGTTGCGGCGACGGTTTTTTCTCACTTGTTCCACCTTTGGTCTTGTGGCTTGTGGTTTTGGTTTCCTTGTTTTTTTGTAGGTCACCAATGTCCATCCTTCATCATCATCAGTATACGCATCTTGTTCGTTTACCCCCGGCGATGGTTGAGTAGATGGCGCCGTGTAGCTTGCACATTGATAGGAATGGTCGGGTGTCGTTTGGAGAGGCACGGGATCGAAGGATCCGAACGCCACCGTAGTAGTATGTGTTGCGGCTGTGTCCTCAAGGTCTAGCTCGATTCTCCCTTGTTGCGCTAGCTTCATAATGAGTTCTTTGAGGACGAAGCACTTGCCCACATGATGGCTTACGATACGATGGTACTTGCAGTACCTAGGATCGTTCGTTCGATTCATTTCTTCAGGGCGCTTGCACTCTGGTAACTCAATTACCTTCTTTTCCAGCAAGTCATCTAACATCGCATCCACGTCTGAGTCAGGAAAAGGGTACGTCTTTTACTCCAACTCTCTCAAGGTGTTTTTATACTTGTCTTGGGTGCGAGGAGGCTCACTTCTCTTTGTCTCATTTGCCTTGGTCTTGGAGGAAATCTTGATAGGCGCAGAGGTGGTCTTGATAGGCGCAGATGGAGTTTTGATGGGGGTAGTGTTGACAGTAAAAGTTTCCTTGGCAGGCTTTTTTCCAGTCTTGTCCACACTCGGGGCGAACACCTTATCCTTCTTGAAGTGGGTGATCGGCTCATTCTTTCCGTGATTGGCGATACTCAGCTCCATGTCGTGGGAACGCGTTGCCAGCTCCTCAAACGTTCTTGGTTTTATGCCTTGGAGAATGTAATGTAACCCCCAGTGCATGCCTTGAACACACATCTCAATGGCAGAGGTTTCAGAAAGCCGATCTTTGCAATCCAGACTTAATGAACGCCATCTATTGATGTAGTCGACGACGGGTTCCTCCTTCCACTGTTTCGTACTGGTCAGCTCCAGCATGCTTACGGTGCGGCGCGTGCTGTAGAAGCGGTTGAGGAATTCCTTTTCTAGCTGATCCCAACTGTTGATAGACTCGGGCTCGAGGTCGGTGTACCAGTCAAAGGCGTTGCTTTTCAGCGAGCGCACGAATTGCTTGACGAGGTAGTCTCCTTCTGTTCCAGCATTGTTGCAGGTTTCAATGAAGTGGGCGACATGTTGCTTCGGGTTCCCCTTTCCATCGAACTGCATAAACTTTGGTGGTTGATAACCCCTCGGCATCTTCAAAGCGTCAATCTTCTTGGAGTAGGGCTTTGAGTATAGTACGGAATCATGTGAGCTTCCTTCATACTGCACCTTGATGGTGTTGGCGATCATCTCCTGCAGCTGCTGGATAGAGAGAGACCCCATGAGTGTCGCCGCTTGGTCCGACTTCAGTGTCTCTTCGACGTTCTCCACTGGAGGTTCCTCATCCTCGTCGTTTTCCCTCTTTATTGGATTATCCCCTTGCCTGACTTTCTCATCGGGCTTTGCATCTAGTTGGTTAACGAGTGCTGCGATTTGCAGGTCTTTGTCCTCCACAGTCCTTGTGAGTTTTGCGATTGTTTCACTCATCTGAGCCAGCTGCTCCTCAATTGAAGTCGCTCCAGCAACCATGACTTGCATAGCTATGCCGCTGCTTGAGTCGGCATCAGAAAGTAAGGATTCAGAGTACTTCCTCTGGCTTTCCTCTCTTGGCGCCCTGAGCGAGGCCAGGGTGATCACCGGTTTGTGCCTCGGGTGCTCTTGTGCCTTCGGCGGAGTTGATGCAGGGGCGGAAGAGGCGGCAGAAAGAGCTTTTGCCTTGCTTCGAGTTATGATGCCTGAAGTGACGCCCCATGTCGTGATGGCGCTCTTGTTTCTTGCATTGGCATCGAGAACAACTTGGGCCTTCCTTGACGCCATTTGTGCTTGTTGCGGATTCAAAGATAGAGATGAGAGGTAGAGACTGTCCCACCGGGCGTGCCAAATTTGTAAACACGGAAATTCCTGCGGTGAATGAGACAAGAACACGTGTACAAAATAATATTTGTATTAATGATTTAGGGGTTACAATCTCTTCTACGAATTTGGCCTCTGATTCTATCTTTGAAACGCGTAGATGTAGTGTTGCTGATCCAGGGGCCGTCGAGGCTTGATCTTGGACGAACAGTTGATGAGTGATGAACACCTTCTTCAAGGGCCGTCGGGGCTTGATCTTGAATGGGTGGAAGTTCTTCAAGGGGCATTGGGGCTTGATCTTGAAGGAGGATTTCACGAAGAACGAAGAGGGCTTTCTTTGATCCTTCGGGATTTGCTTGAGAGCTTCCAAGTTTCGAGGCTTCAAGGCTTTGGTGTGGTGTGACTTCTCTTCCAATTTGGGAGTAGAGAAAGTTGTATGTAAAAAATCCTCCCTTGATTCTTTGATGGAGGAGCCTATTTATAGGCTTTGGGAATGAACCACCACCATCCATTTGTTTTGGTGGATGTTGTAGGTGAATTGGTGGATTGTTGTAGGTGAATTTGGGTGGAGGTTGTAGGTGAATTTGGATGGATTGTTGTAGGTGAATTTGGGTGTATGTTGTAGGTGAATTTGGGTGGAGGTTGTAGGTGAATTTGGATGGATTGTTGTAGGTGAATTTGGGTGGATTGTTGTAGGTGAATTTGGGTGTATGTTGTAGGTGAATTTGGATGGATTGTTGTAGGTGAATTTGGATGGATTGTTGTAGGTGAATTTGGGTGTATGTTGTAGTTTTAATGCAATGGTCAACATTTATTTCACTAAAATTTCAATGTTTACAAATGTAATTTTAATGCGATGGCTAACATTTATTTCAACAAAATTTCAATGTCTACAATAATACATGCAAAATAATTTACTTATAAAGTTAAAGAAATGTTATTTGATTCAACATAAATTTATCTATATTTTATATAATAATATAGGTGAATCATTGCACAAATATATATTAGGAATAAAATGTGCCCAATATATATATATATATATATATATATATATATATATATATATATAATGCATGCAAATAATTCACCTACAAATAAAGGAAATTTGGTTAAAAATAATATATCTACTACTTTCAATTTTTTTTTTACAAACATAATGCACCTACAATATAATTTACCTATTGTTTAATCAAATAAAAAAATAATGTATCTACTGTTTCATTTTAATGGCGATAATTTGTCTTGGTTTAGTTTTTACGAAATACTTTAGGCACTATTTAACTTGACCAAAACAATGTAACTACTACCTTAATTTACCTACAAAATAAATGATATTTGATTCAAAATTAATTTATTTATATTTTACATATAAATATAGATAAATTATTTTTAACACGCATACATAATAACAAATAAAAAATGTCTAATGTATGTAATAATCTATGTAAAATAATTTTCCTACAACATAAAGAATATTAATTGGTTTGTTTTTTTATCAAACAATATTATATGATGGAAAATAACTGATTATAGAAAGGATTTTCTTTTTTCATACGAAAAATGTGCTCATAATTGTTTATGAATATGGATAAATTAGTGTGTGTATATATATATATATATATGTTACTAATATTTATGATACAAGAAAGGAAAATTTTACATATGGGGTTAATTGCTAATCATAATTAGGGTGAGTAATAATATTTATTGACATAATTAGGGTTTTGTGGCATAAGTTGTAAATACGTTGTAATAATTGGTTACATATTTGTCTACATGGTAGTCTATTTGAATTTTGGGTTTTATTTGAATATTTACTATTAGGTGTGTTTTTGTTTGGAAAATAGGAGTTTCAAGGGCCTTTCTCTAAAGAACCTTTAATAAAGCATTTTATGTTTTAAATATTAGTTTATTATGTCTGGATCAACGCATAATATGTAATTAGTTAGATTATTATTTGGCTTACTATCCTATTTGTACTATCCATCTAATAGAGGTTCGGGGGCAAATAATGGTACAATGAGACAAATAATGGACAAATAAATGGTAAGAATAATGTTTTTTTAACAAACGATATTATCTACACTAAGGGGGTTGAGGTGTGTTTAGCCTCACAATGGCCAAGCAATAATGTGGTTCATATTCCCGTTTAGCAAGTATCGAACCTACAAAACTCTCACTTACATGTGATGGCACACATACATCCCACCGCACCCCCTATTTCACTCTATTTTCTCCCCATTGCCAACTAACATTAAGCCAATTATTATTATTATTATTATTGTCACAGCCCGTCCCCGAACTTATTGTATTTTATTCTCAATGAGGTGAATTGACGGAATTACCCCTAAGGGATGGATTGAATCGTTGGACTTGGGCAAAAAATTTTGGATTTATTTTTATTGCCCTAGTTTAATTTGGTCAAGTTTAGACCTAAATTTTTATGGTGAGTATTGTTTGATGATGTGTTAGTGTGAGGACCACACACACCCAAAAAGACCTTTCCCTTTCTCCCGTGCCTTCTCTCTCACTCCTTCCTCTCAGATTTTTGCAGAAACCAGTACAACATTCGGAAAAACTCCAAGCTTCCATTTCAAGCACGGATCGACGTCAAGAAGGTAAGATTCAAACTCCTTGTAAGTCTTTGAGTTGATTTATATCATTTTTAAACCTTAAAACCTTCAAAAATCCCGAGAACTCGAACCCCAGATTTCATGTAGTGTTCATGCACTAATTGATGTGAGGTTTTTTGGAGTTTTTAAGGACACAAGAAGCTTTAGATTGTCTTCACGAAGCTCGGAGAAGAAAAATGAAGTGATTTGGATGTCGGAAAGTTGAGATACGACGAGTTACAGGTTTAGCCAGAATATCGAAGGATTTTTCGGCAAGTTCGGTCGGTTTTAGGACCTTTGAAAGGTAAGGTTTTGTTCTACTTGTCTTAAGCTTCATTTTGGTTCAAATTTCGTGGAATTTGGTTGAGATTTGGACAAGATATGAAGGTTTTCATGATTTTCTAATTTTCCAGTGAACGACGACGGCGACGACGACCGGCGAGTCTAACCGGAGAAGAAGATAGAATATTTCGTCAAAGTTGACGGAATATTCTGACGCCGTCAAGTAAAATTAATGGATTCCGTTACTTTTTAACGAATATTCCTAACGGGGTTAGGGGATTCCGTTAGTTTCCTTGGGCGTGGCCGCGCGTGTTGCTGTGCCTTGGCCAGTGCGTGGCGGCTCGTGGATGGTCGGAAAATTATTTTTAAAATATGGGGATGTTCATGGAGTTGTGTAGATCACGTTGGTATATTCAAACACCCTATTTGAGCAATGTATGAGAAGTTATTAGCTAGTTTTTTCTATGTGCTTTAAATAACGTTTTTGTAGTTAATTCACATATAGGTGAGACTTATCCCGAGGACAAACGCAGTCAAGGGCAACTCGGGGGCTACAACCATTCGACATACCAGTGAGTGGGCTTTTGGTTTTCAGTATATACTTATATACTTGATATTTTCCCAGAAAATGCGTTTAAATGAAAGTATGCTTTGAATGCCATGCATATAAATTTATATTTCGTATATGAATTAGTATATATAATTGTGGTGCTGTGGACGCTCAGGTAAGCCATGTGAGTTATGAATTGTGAATTATCGATAATGTGACATGTTATTGAGTAACTTTGAGCTCATAAACCTGCACCTAGGGTGATTGTGATTTAGTAGAAATATGACACATGCCTATTATTAATGTCACCTCCCGCACCATATGCTCATATTGGATCCAATTTAGGTGCACAATCTTGTCGTACAGACCTTTACTATGGTTCCGACTCGTAGGTGACTAGCGATTTATCGCCCAGCTATTATGAGAGAGTAGTATTGAGCATAATTATATTACACCCAGTCTTATCGTACAAACCTTTTCATTGGTTCCGAATCGTGTGTAGTATAATGCCGTATATGTCATTGTAGTGACTCCGGCTAGATTGACTATTGAGCTATGAATTCAGCCGTACAGACTATCACAGGGGTTCCGGCTAATATGTTATTTTCCATGCATTTATTCTCACTTGAATTACTTACTCTGTTATATCTTGGCATGACATACTTATGATTATGAATATGTGAAGCATGATTTGAATTGATATATTTACATATATATTTATGCATATGTTTATATTCTATTTCTGGGAAAATTATACATGTTTTACAGCGAGGAGTTAAAACTGTTGAGAAATGAAATGGTTTTGTAAAACATTTTTTTTTGCCCACTCACGTTTTCTGTTTTGCGCCCCTCCAGGTTTTAGGTAAGCTTGCCGTTGCTGGGTATGAGGATTTCGGTGGTTCTGACATATTAAAATAATTATAGGACATCTTATGGTACTGTATCATTAGTACTTGTCCTACTGGACTGCACCTAGACTTTATATGCTCTGATTAGGGGTATTTACTTTTGTATCTCACTCCTAACACTTCCTGTTTATTAGTGCACTTTAGTAGCTTTCGGTTTTTATTTATTCGTATATTTATTATCCTTATTGCTTCCGCACTGTGCACATGGCTACGTCACCCTCACGTGACGGCCATCATGCCTCGATCTCGGTTAGGGTGTGTCAATTATTATTATTATTTTTTTAGAATAAGAGAAAGACTTCAAATTGAATTACATTTCCCGGTTTTATTTCTGTGGTGTTGTTTCCCAATAGTAGTTTAGGATGTGTCCGGAACACGGAGTGATACACAACGTCTCTATACAAGTGGTGAGATTCTTGTGTTAAAAAATAAAATTTTCTACTACTTACATAATAACATATGGTGTAGAGAGTTAAGATTGTAGGTGGAGGAGAAAAGGAAGCCGCAGATGGACGAACAATAGAAGAAAAATTAAGTAATTGGTGTTCAAAGTTAAGAAATTGAAGAGATATAGAGAAAAATTGATGAGTATCGAAGAAAATTAGAAGAAGAAAATGTGTTTGGAAGGTGAGAATGTGCCGAGAAAATTCAAGAAGATGAGAGAGAAGGATGTAGTACCGTAAAGTTTCATAAACAGTGTAGTACTGTTAAGTTTCATAAACAGTGTATCACTGTTAAATTTCATAAAGAGTATAGTACAGTTAAGTTTCATAAACAGTGTAGTAAGTTTCATAAACAATGTCGTAATTTTTCATAAACAGTGCAGAAAGTTTTATAAACAGTGATGCAAGTTTCATAAATAGTGTAATACGTTTCATAAACAGTGAAGTACCGTTAAGTTTCCTAAACAGTGTAGAAAGTTTCATAAACAATTTGTGTGAGGATGCGTGGATTCGCGCTTGAGATTTTTAAATTTTTTTTAATATTAAAATTATGTCTTTTGATTAAAGTTTAAGTTCTTTTATCCTTTTTATTAAAATTTAAGGATTTTTCATTAAAATTTAAGTCTTTTTAATTAAATAAAGTTATAGCATGATTTCTTTATTAAAATAAACTTAACCCGAACTCTTTTCATAAAAGTTCTCATAAAAATATCTATGGATCGCTATCACCAACTATCATGTACATACCATTATTCATGGCTTTTAGTCTGCCTCGATGCGAAGAATTTGTGGTGCTCATCCAGGGAGTCTTACATATTCAGTTGCTTATTTTATTATATACATTCAATATTTCTTATTATGCCACCTACGGTTTAGTAATATTCTTTTTCATTTGTAAATTTATTATGGAAGGAAAAATGTTATGCTCTTCCTGGCAGAGGAGAATTCTCTCCTAATTCTCTCTCTTCCATCTCCTTATAGTTAAATAGTTACGATTAACCCACATCAACATCTTGTATTAATTTTTTTTTATAGAAAGAGAAAGATAAAAAGAAAACTAAAACTATGAGAAGAGGGAAGGAAAGAGAGTAAGAATATGAGGGACGAGAATATACTTCCTTCGTTTATTTTTATTTTTATTTTTTTTGTGTGTGAGCCAACTGAAATACAAATACAAAGGAAGTTGTGATGTGCTTTTGCAGCTTCCACCATGAAACACCACATATATGATTTATGGCTGGTTTGATATTGCTGTGCTTTGAAAAAAAACTGATTCTGCTGTGATGTGAGAATAAGCTCATTTTTGCTCCTATAACGTATTTTTCTTTGCTACAAACATTACTTGTTACTAATGCTACATTGCTAGTTCCGTATAACAATAAATGAAAGTAAAAAACGTAATATTAAATGGAGAGCTCACTTTTGGGGGAACCATCTCTGGTTCAGTTCGACTAAGGATTGAGAAACTCAATTTCTAGGGTTTGAGGAATTTGAATAGGAATTTCACTGTGGTATCATTTATTGACCGAGATTTCACTTTCGGTGATTGATTGTTCACATGGCGACAACGTTTTGGTGATTTGGAGACCATCTGAAATACAGTAAGACCTACCAATTTTGTTGTTTACTTTTATAGTTTATGAATTTCATTTGGATGCCTTTGTGTGTACTTTATTGAGGTTGGCCCCATTATTGTCTATTTCTCACCTTTCATTAATTTTTGGTTTGATAAATTTCGATTTTAGCAAGTTTTGTGCAGTTGCACATGATAAAGGTGAAATATGAAAGTTTTATTCCAAGGCTAATTGTTTGCATTCCTAGTTATAGAATTGTTCAATCGTATTATCATATGACCCAACTAACTTAAACACATTCAAGCTTTGGAGGTATGGCCAAGTTTGGATTGTCAAAACTATAATGGTGGTGCTGAAGAATTAAGGTTCATCAATATTGGCCTTTTATTGATCACCTAACCAATGCTGACAATTCTATGAGAAGGTCAAACATATAAAGTTGCATCTGTTGGTATACATGGTAATGTTCAGGAAGATAATGAAAGTGAAGCAGAAGAGGATAATGAAAATAATATAGAAGTACTGAAGGTGAAAACAAATATGAGGATGAAGTATTTGTTGACATGATTATGGGGTAAGTAACAATGAAGAGCCAACTAATGTTGAAGAGGTAAATGGTGTGGAGGAACCAAATGAAGTGCCTAATGTTAATCCTCCAAATGAAGTGCTCGATTTTTATCCTTCTAATGAAGCTACAGGGGAGATTTCATCTAATGGTGAAGACATTAATAATCCTTGTTCTGGTTGTGATGAAGAGGAAGGTGAACAAAACTCTGATAAAATTAGAGTTTTAGACATTGAGCTAGATAAGATGGCCTCCGTAAGTGTGTATGGGTTGATATCCAAGACGGGTGCTAGCTCTAAGCCTTTAAAAACCGACCCTCTTAGACACCCAAGGTGTCTCCTCAAAGACCATCCCCTCACACCACATCAAGAAAGACGTGACCACTTAGTAAACCCTAATCCAGTATTTAATTTTGAGCCCAACTAAAGCACGAGGTGATAGAGATATTACCACCGGCAAAAATAGGGATAAAAACACTTTAAATACTTGCAAGAGTACAAGATTATCGTAGTATAGCAGCTCAAGCAAGTATTTAAACTGTTTTTATCCCTACTTTTGCAGGTGGTAAAATCTCTATCAAGAAATTGACGCCATTGTTGACTATTATTTTAAACAATTTGTGTTTATCAACTCTTAGTTAATTATTTTTGTATATATCTTTTTATTTACTTGATTTTAATTTTTTTTTAGGTTACAATTTGTTGATTTTGAGAGCAGTGCAACAATTTCATTAGCAGCAATGTGATACTTTGGATTTGCACCAACAATTTGTGCTCTTTGCAATTTAAATACCCATGATATTATGTAATGTCCTCAGAGGCAGTATTTTCCAGAGTTTGTGCAGCATCATATTAATATGAGGAACAATTTTCAAAGGCCTAGGTGCACTTCCTACTCAAATTTTTACAATCTATCATGGCCAGAGCATCAAAATCATGTGGGTGGGTAGCCATCAGCCTTTTGAACAGCCTCATGCGCCAGCAAAAGCTAATTGGGAGATTGCAGTTGAAAAATTGCTGCTTACTCTTGGGAGATTGGGAGATACCCAAGCTTCATTAGATAATCTGGTGCAACAAGTTGAGCAACTCATGCATCAATGGGACGAACACGAGGAAGACGATTTTCCTTGTCAACAAATAGATGGCCCACAAGATTTAGAGGAATGGTGTTTTATTCAAACACCGCAATGTGTAGAGAATTATGACTACATGCAAAAAGACGCTAGAATTGAGGAGCCACCAGGCATTGACTCTCGCCCAATGGAGGAAACTGCTAATCTTAAAATTCCCACAGAACCCCTTGCTACCCAAATCTATATGCCACACATTCTCTTTCAAAGCTGCAGGAAAGCTTTGAAACTGCCAGCACACACAAAAAGCCAATCATAATAGCAGAAATGGAGTGCAGGTCCATCGAGCAGGCTAAAGGCATACGAGAAGAAGAAGACGTTTTGTGGCAGCCAAATTCCTCATAGACAAATTCTGCCAATGCACAAATTACGAGTATTAAATACAAGGTCGAAGTCAGTTCATCAAGGACACAAGCCCCGCTTGAATGAACTCTCTTTAATTACAAGAATTCATTCAGATAGAAAAGCAGACATTAAGGACTAAACCACAACATTTAAACACTCAATCAATAATCATCAAGTCACTCATTTCCGATGATGCTGTTAAAGATTGGTTGACTCTTCAAGATCAAGCGACATGCATGATAACCAACCTTCCACTTCGTCTAGCTACAAACGTTAACTAAAACGCTTATTAGGAGACAACCCAATTTTTCTAACTCTTTTCTTTTTATTTTTGTTTATTTTATTTTCTTGATTACGAAAAAAAATCAAACAAACAAAAAAAAAATCAGAAAATCGAAAAATATAAAAAGTCATTTTTTTTTGTTAATCAGTATTTTATTTTGGGTTTTACTCTAATTAGATTTTTAATGTGTGTTCTTGGCAGGTTGAATTCAGAATCAATTGGCCCCAAATATCCAATAAATCTGCACATTCGACTGAATCATGCATTCAGCAGCATTCAACATACATTCACTTCAGAGCGTCATCGTAACTTCACTAACATTAATGAGAATCAGCACTACAGAAACCAAAGGAATGCAGAAAGATGCACGGGCAGAGTTCCAGACATACTCACAGTGGGATGCTGAGAAGAGTCAGACCTCTATGCTAATGGACCCCTTTCACTCACTCTCTCACACTTCATTCAAAATATAATTACATTGAAGTTTGGGAGAGGGATCCATGTTGCACAGAGAGCACGGTTCATCAAGTCAAGATACCGATTCAGTTTTGTGCACATCATTTTGACTCATCATTCATCACGGTTCCTGCAAGCACATGGGAAAGCAATATATAAGCATATAGAAATTCACTGATCTAACACATGCAATAACATATCAAAGAAGAGGGAATCGGTAATTATACCTTTGGCTTTGGATCCGAGTATTTCTTGTTTTGTTTTCCAGTGCATTGCCCGATCTGAGATGTTGTAGCAATTTCGTTGTCTCTTCCATTGTACTGACGTCAGCTCAAAGTTCCTTGCACAGAGAAAGACCACATGCATGCGTTAGAATTTCGTTTTCATTTGTCCTTCGGTCATGAAATCGAAGGCAAAGAAGATGTGGATGAATTTTACCTGAGGAATGTAGCTCTGTATTTGCAGTAGTGAATAAGTTTGGATGGTGTAGCTATGGCAGCTCTGGTTATGACAGAGGTTGAGATGGGGTTTTGGATATTGGTTTGTGTTACAGAAAAGACGGAAGAGGCACTGTGTTGTGAAGGTTTTGGGAAGCTTCGAGAAATTTAAGTGGAATGGCTAGGGTTTGATGGACTTAGCAGAAAGAGAGTAATGAAGGAGAGCTGTTTGGCTCTGCTCGAGGAATGATGAGAGAGAATCATGCATTTCTAGGGTTGCGAAATGGGGAACCAGCACACACTATTTTAATAAAAGCATATGCCAGCTGCATCCCATTACAATCCATGCCTTTGGTTTTTGTATGCTATTGGACCTCTTTTGGGGTTGGGTTCAGCCCAAAAGGTTATTCCAATGTCAGACTGTGATCCTTCCAAGGGTCCATTTTTGTCACGCACGTGATGATGAAATGGGCTCGTGCATTCTTTGCTTACGTGGGCTCTTCATACCAGCAAGTTTCTACTTCCAGCCCAGGTATTATTGTTCTTTTTCTTTTTCTTTTTGTTATTTTATTTTATTTTTTAAATCTTTTTGTCTACTGTTTTTTCTTTGATTAGTTAGTTGTTTTTGTGGATCATTTTTCTTTATTCTTTCTTTATGCTTTTATTTTTCCACACCTTGAGGACAATGTGTGATTTAAGTTGGGGGTGGGAAATAAGAAATTTTAGATTTTTTTTTAATTTTTGAGTCAAATAAAATTTTCATTCTTTTGAAGTTAATATTCATAGATTATTTTAAATGTTAGAACAAATGAACAAGGTGAAAGTTAATCCCATAATAGAGTCGTTTCTATTTATCATTGTTTAGACACTAATTCATGAATTATACTTTGAAAATTTGCACATTCACATCAACATGGTTTGTGAGGAGTGAGATAGAAAACTTACTTTTCGTCTAAGTAATTTTTAATTTTTGTTCTAAGTTAGTAAAGTTAGTTGTTATCAATAAAGTAATAATTGTTCCACCTGAGGCTTTGCCTAGTAACCAGGCCAGTCCTTCCTGATCAGCAGTGATTGTCGCATCAAACGGTAGAGTTTTGGCATGGGGCAAGGTGGTTAGCTGGTTTCGTAATCTTTTCAGCTCGAGTTAATAAGTCCTTAAGGGGTGTTTTATACCTAGTGCCCTAAAGCCTTAGTGGTTTGAGAGTCATTGACCTAAAGCTCGTTATATGGGTTGAATAGAAAACTTAAGTGAACTAACATTGCACGAACACTGCTACTAAAAAAAAGGAAAAAAGGCGAAAAAGGCGAAAAAAATATATATATCATGTTATTATGTGTGAAGTGTTAAATAAAGAAGACGAAAGGTAAGGATTTTAGTCAAGTCTCCTTAACTAAGTTGGTTCACCCTTACACCAAAGGAAGTTCATGAATTCTTTTCTAATTGATTCTAAACGGCTTAGACTCTGTGGCGGGATTAGTTGAAACTTTTGGAAAGATGTTCTAATTTTTAACATTTTCTATGGATTGCAACTTGAAGGTGAAATTTTTGTGTCTTAGTTTGGTTTAAGTTTCTAGTTTGTTAGTTCTTAGTTTAAGGGTGAGTTGGTCGTAAGTGACTAGAAGAACATTTTTGGTTCACTTAGTGAATAGGGTCCGGGACAATTTTGACTAATTAGTTTAACTTAGCATCCTTAACAATACTCTCTATTTTAAGCAATTACAAATAATAGTACACACGGGAGTAAGATTTGATCTCTAGAGTAGGCATTTCCTTTGCATAATACTCTTCCCTATGTACGTACGTGCAAAAACATAAATGCACATCAGTAACAAAATGAATAGAGCAACAATACATTTTACAAATATCATCATGATGGTTCCTAATGAAATTGTATTAATCTCCAAACTGCATATGGTCATTGTGCAATTTTCTTTTAGGTTTTGTGATATATCATTTGTAGAATAACTCTGTGTGTGTGAGAGAGAGAGAGAAACAGAGAAAAAGTAGCATTAAAAAATTGTAGAGCTTGAAGGAAATATAACTGTCACTATGTCAAGTTAATTTACAATAATCATTACTTACTAGATCACAACTTCATTCAAGTCCTGGACCACATCACCAACTCATAATTTAGAATTATACCCAAATTTTGCTTCGTTTCCTTGCAAATGATCATAAGCTTTGCATAAGCAGAATACTTCATATACACAGATGGTTGATCATCAAAGTCAAACTTTGTCACCATGTCATTCTTATCGTCTACCCATTGGGCTCTGGCCTCTTCGTACACCGGATGAGCAAAATCTCCAGCCAAAGAAAGCCGAAATAGGTGATAGTTTTTTCCTACCATGTCGGGACATCCCAAGCAGTGGCAAGAGGGAACTTCACCTCCAAATTTACTTAAACATATACAAAAAGTAGGTCAATTGACACATAAAAACACTATTCCAATCTAATGGCTAATGAGGTACGTCATATAAATATGGTTTACGTCAGTATTAGCTAATGGCTGAACAAGAATTCAAACTGCTTTGTTTTAACTCAGAATTAGCTAACAATTAGCTTTTACCAACACTAAACACACATCACAAATGCTCAAGCTATATTAAGGCAAATGCAATGGTGGAAAGCTGTGGAAGTTGTTATCTTATATTCTAACTTAAATGAAAGTGAAGCCTTGTGAAGATATATTTATAAACTTCTATTAGTGCCAGTGGATGTGGAAAATAGAGATTATTGTCACTAGAAGTGAGCTAATAAAAGACAGGTGAAGAGGCCAAAAACTAGTCCTTATTTTTCAGCAGAGACTATCTCATCAATGAGGGACACGGAGATGATTAACATATGGTGAGCCTACTGCAAGTTCTATGGAAGCACTTTTCAGCACTTGATGGCCCACCCTTGCAAGACTGAGGGTGTACGGTCTGTCGACTTCAAAGAGAACATGAAGATAACCCAACACATAAAAACATCACCCATCAAGCTGCCAAGAAGTGGTTCATCACTTGGAAAATTTTTCTTATGTAAGGGTAAAGGAGGAGGGGGAGGGCGTCAGGTAGTCGACAGCCGGTACTCCATGATCACGTCGAATCCTTATGAAAGGGTATCTAAGTCTTTGCGATGGATTGAAAGATAATATTAGTAGAGAAGCATATGAACATTCAGGAGCAAGGCTAAAAAGCAAAAGAATGTGCATACAAAGGAAACGAATGAAGCAACAATACATTTTACAAATATCATGAGGATGGTTGATATTGCCATTACAATAATCCACAAATTGCATTCATTAATTATGTTGTATAGATATATATACATATATATAAGGACGACGACCATTACCTGAAGAATAGTTTCTTAACCTCAACTCCAACCTTGACAGATTGATGAACAAGGGCAAAGAGTGCAGTCTCGCCTATCAAAAGAGTTTTTTGGTATGCAAACCTGTTATGATGATTGATATATGTTGCACTGATTGGTATACGTTGCATTGACTGACAAAAGAGTTTCTTTTACTACGATTGGTTTTGTTTGTGTTGTCTACATTGGTTTTGGAATGGTTTGATGAGTTGCATTGACTGGTATATATGTATCATCTGAACCTTCATCAGGCAAAAAGCTGATTCCTCTTGATTTTTCTTGATTTCCATTCCAACAAGACCAGGGGCATCAGGAGGCATCTCACCAAGCATCAAGTACGTGTTCAAAAGCCGTACTTGATGCTTGGTGAGATGCCTCCTGATGCTCCTGGTCTTCTTAGAATGGAAATCAAGAGAATCAGCATCTTGCTTGATGAGGGTTCAAATGATACACATATACCAATCAATGCAACTCATTAAACCATTCCAAAATCAATGTAGACAACACAAAAAAAACCAATTGTAATCGAAGAAACTCTTTTGACAGTCAATGCAACATATATCAGTCAGTGCAACATATAACAGTCATCATAAGTGGTTTGCATACCAACAAACTCTTGACAGTGAAGGCTGCACTCTTTATCTTTGTTCATCAATCTATCAAGGTTAGAGTCGAGGTTATAAAGTTATTCTTCAGGTAATGGTTGTCGTTCTTTTATATATATATATATATATATATAGCACAATTAATTAATGTAGTTTGGAGAATATTGTAATGGCGAAAGCAGCCATCTTCATGATATTTGTAAAATGGATTGTTGCTTCATCATACACCTTCAGTCTTGCAAGAGCGGGCCATCAAGTGCTAAAAAGTGCTTCCATAGAACTTGCAGCAAGCTCACCATATGTCAATCATCTCCGTGTACCTCATTGATGAGATAGTCTCTGCTGAAACAAAAATACTAGTTTTTGGCCTCATCACTTGTATTTTATTAGCCCACTTCCAGTGACACTCAACAATTACCTATATGTTCCACATCCTCTGGCACTTTGAACTCCTAATAGAAGTTTATAAATATATCTTCACAAGGTTTCGCTTTCATTTAAGTTAGAATATAAGATAACAACTTCCACAACTTTCCACCATTGCATTTGCCTCTATATAGCTGAGCATTTATAATGTGTGTCTAGTGTTGGTAAAAGCTATCTGTTAGCTAATTCCAAGTTAAAACAAAGTAGTTTGAATTTATGTTTTCTCTGCTACAATGTACAGCGTATGGAAGCGTATTATGCAAAGGAAAAGCCTATTGATGGAATTCCAGAGATCACAGCTTGTTCACCCATTAGCTAGTACTGACCTGAACCATATTTATATGACGTACCTCATTAGCCATTAGACTAGAACAATATTTTTATGTGTGTCAATTGACTTACTTTTTGTATATGTTTCAGTAAATTTCGAGATGAAGTTCGCTCTTGCCACTACTTGGGATGTCCCAACATGGTAGGAAAAAACTATCACCTATTTCGGGTTTCTTTTGCTGGAGATTTTGCTCATTCGGTGTACGAAGAGGCAAGAACCCAATGGGTAGATGAGAATAATGACATGGTGATTGAGTTTGAGTTTGACGACCAACTAGTTGTGTATATGAAGTATTCCGCTCATGCAAAGCCTATGATCATTTGCAAGGCAAAAAAAGCAAAATTTGGGTATAATTATGAATTGTGAGCTTGCGATGTGGTCCATGCAGGACTTCAATGAAGTTGATGAAGCTACGATCTAGTAAGTAATGATTTTGGTTGAGATTATTGCAGATTAACTTGACATAGTGACAGCGGTATTTCCTTCAAGCTTTGTAATTTTTTAATGCTACTCTCTGTTTCTCTCTCTCTCACACACAGTTATTCTACAGAAGATACTAGGTAGTTATGCCCGCGCATTGTTGCGGGATTAAAAATAAAAGTGACTACAGATGAAATTAATAAATTGTAATAATTTTAATAAGAACAATAGTTGAAACCACCAGTCAATTTCCTAGTATTTCCATTCTAAAATGAAACAAAAGGGTGTAGAAAGATGGATGAGATACACCTAACTTGGTGTCTCAGAGATTATCACTTCCATCTTTTCTTTTTAAGGGAATTAGCTGCCACCAATGTATATACAAAGGCTTTCTTCTTTTGATCTGTTTTAAATACATGCCTAATTACTTGGCGGTTCACTGGGACGTTTAATATGGATATCCAAAAGTATAAATAGATTACCAAAAATATAATCTTTCCACATGCCTCAATTGAGCCAAAGAACAGGTTAATAATATGGAAATTGTTAAATCTAATTAATGAGTGACGGGAATGGTCTACAGATAGATTTAACAATTCCTGTATTGCTAAGGTGTTGTCGAGAGGTTACATCTTTGTTGGGGGCATGTTGACTTACACTTTTGGATGTCCAACTTAACCTTGAATGGGCAAGCAATTGTTCATGTATTCAGACCAAATGAAAAGAAGATAGAATGTGTGTATATATATATTGGTGGCAGCCAATTCCTTGAAGAGAAAGGTTAGCAAAACAATTGCAAAAAAACTTTGAACACATGACCTAAAAATGAATTTTTGAAATCTAGAGTAGGATAAATCACTTACTATTGGTGGCAGCACGGTTCATACTAATGTTGCAGCTTGATTCATCGAACTTGGGTGAGTTGGCGGTGGTCTGAGTGAGTTCGTGGAAAAGAACTTGATAAGAACTGTGAAATTGAATAATAATGAGAATGAATTTAAAGATTGAAAAAATTGAAGAAAAGTTATACCTTTTTCTTTTCTTGGATTTGAAATTTTTAACAGTCTGACCTCCTTTTTTTTTTCAGTGTAGACAATAGATTGAGAAGGCCTTCTACAGAATTTAGACATGTATCCCATTAATACATCTAGTCTACAATATAAACAAAAATTCAGAGGGATGTGCACCGTTAATTCGATCCAAGATCTTATAGTCCATCTAGTAATAAGTACAAACATAACTACGAATGAAAAAATACAAAAATTCCAAATTGTTTGCTGATCTTAAAAACAAAATCCATGCGACTGAACACAGCTCAGCTGAGCCAAAGATTTCAATTTACTGGACACAAAAGCAAAAAGTCACAGAATTTTAAGAGGGCCACCGACCCTACACCAGAAAGTGCATGGACTGCAAATATCTGGTTCTTTAACAACTCCTCCATCTATAAATTCAGCAAATATCAAAGAAAAAGTAATATTTACAATCAGCAGTTGAGATATAGCTTTATTGTAGTCGACAATTTTCAGATGCAAATGCTTGACAGTCGGTAACGCATGCTGAAAAACTTAATTTGGAATTTGGAGAGGTCCTAATTCATGGGATTATGATACCATTTTATCAAAAAAGCAAACAATAAGCAGGCATTGTGCAAAAGTATTGCAGAATCAAAACCAACACTCAGACCACAGACCGACCCGAATGCTCAGAAAAATTATTTTGTCTTTCTAACACTAACAGTATCCCAGTAAGCAGCAACGAAGACCCAATACAATTTACACAAACATTGGTCCCTTTGCGGCATTTAAACAACCACCTCGTCTGCATTATCCTACAAAGATGAAAACCCGATAAATACGAAATTTTCCCACGAAACCGAAAGCTAGGAACTTTGAACGAAATTAGAGTTCAATTAAACCAATTTACAATCGGATGAGATGGAAAATTAGCTAATTAATACAATTCGATCCTTTTCTGGTCCGATTTCCCAAATATTTCACGAAAAAAAAAACAGATTTATTAAAGATTTAATCAAGCATTGGAAACTTTAGCAGAAAAATACGAAAATGCAATAAGGAACACAAAATAGGGAGAGAAATAGAGACCTTGATTCGAAGAGAAATGGTGAAGCCCTAAATCGAGCTGCTTGGTGCAGAGAAGAGTGAGGCGAGGAGGGAGACGGGGAGAGCAGGAGTCGAGTACAGCAAAAGATGGGTCTAGCGTCTGAAAGGGTGGGGGAAGCATATAGAGAAAAGGTGGGTCAACATAAGAGAAGGGCAAAGTTGAAATAACAAAAAAGAAGCAAGGGTGAAATGGAAGAACACTGTTAATGAACAGTGTTTTTGTGTTGGGTTTTAGTTTATGTATATAACTAGGATTTGTCCCTGCGCGCGTTGCTGCGGGATTAAAAACTACATGAAAGATTATGTGATTTCAATCTTCATAAACATTTATTGTCTAACATGATACTTATGGTATGGTTAAAGGTTTTATATGTTTCAACAGTAATTAAGTCTGCTCCTAATGCATCCACTTGAGAAAAATTAGCATTTAATGTCTCCAAAGGGAACCTTTCAAGAAAGTGGTTGAGACAAAGTTGTTACAAAAACTTCATGCGAATGAATGCAGATTGGAAGTCAAAAATAAAATCAAAACGGTTACAGAATGAAAATAAAATGTTGGAGTTAACATTAAACAATTTAAAGATTAAACCGGTTGGATATACATTGGGTAATCAGATATATGCAATGAAAGATTAGAAATTGAGGATTATGGGTTGTATATAAGTCAAATAGAAATGGATGGAAAATGAAAAAAATAGGAAGAAAAAGGTAGGCAGTAAGAAAACTAACAGAATATAGATATTGCAAAATGGTTAATATATTAAAAACTAAATGTTTCAATAGATATACTTGAACAAAAGAGGAAATTGGAATGCTGGCAGTTGCTAAAAGCGAAGAAAAATGAGGAGAGATGGTGACATGTAGCATCTGATTGTAGAGACAAAATTTGCAGTCAAAAAAAAAATTCAAACATAAAGTTTATCTATAAATCAAACACTGAAATAAGAAGAAGAATAAATAAAGAAATGGGCCACACGGAGATAAAAAGGCTTACCAGAAGTTCGGTTGTATGCCAATCGAAAAAGATTGTAGGTCTCAACTCAAAGTATACTTGGCAGCATGACTAGAAGATGTAAAAATAACATCACAAAATATAAACACCATTGAAAACACATAGGTTCCTCAACAACGAAAGCAGAAAACGGAGAGTGAAAGAAAAAAAGGTTTGTGAGGTACAGAGAAGACCAAAGGGAAAGCAGAAAACGGAAAGTGAAAGAAAAAAAGGTTTGAGAGAGATAGAGAAGACTAAACGGGAATTAAAAGATTAAAAGAAAAGATAAACAGAGATGGCAAACGAACCGATCGACGATCATCAACACGTGGATGGGACAATCTCGTCCTTCCATTGTACCGAGAAACAGAGAATAACGAAAAAGAAAAGGAAAACAAAGAAGACACAAAGGGGCATTTAAGCCATTACACCGCTGGTGTACAACTTCGAGAACAGAGACGATGAAAGCGTGGGAAATGAGGGTAAAACCGGCTTTTTACTATTCAATCAAGGCAAAACACAGCTGGAAACAAACCAAACGGAGGGCATTTTCGCCACTCCGCTGTCCATGAATAGTAAATGGGCGTTTGAGTTTTAGTATCGGAAAACGATATAAAAGCAGAAATGGGTATGGGAAACGGAACAAAAAGCAGGTTGGGTATAGGGTGAGAAGCAAATTTCACGATGACTAACACGTGGTATGAGAGAGGCCAGTTAAATTCACTGTGTATCACATTTTTTAATATTTTTTTCTGCCTTCCCACCTGCTATACCTGGGTTGAAAAAAATAAAGAAAGCATAAATTTTTATTGTTAGTTGTGCCACAAACGGGCCTTGTTTTAATCACAATTTTTTAATATTTTTTTGTTTTCCCAACAACTATTAATGGGTTTAAAAAATTAAGACGATATAAATTTTTATTGTTAGTTGTGCCACAAACGACGTGGCCTTGTTTTAATCATATTTTTTTATTATTTTTTTTGTTTTCCCAACAGCTAAACATGGGTACATAGGGAGAGCAACAGTCAAACAAAATAAGGAAACAAACAGAAAATTTAGAAGACAAAAATTTCAGAAGGCAACCCAAATAGAGGGTGACTGGATGATGGACGCGTGGAGTGAATGGGTACAACAGTCATTCGACTGCACAAATGCAGAAACAGCAAGAGAAACAGAGCAAAAACCGAGGGGCATTTCCATCTTTTTACTATTTCTGAACAGTGTCGGATTCAACTGAGTTACAGGGTGAGAAGCAAATCTCACGATGACCAACACGTGGTATGAGAGAGGCCCGTTAAATTCACTGTGTATCACATTTTTTAATATTTTTTTCTGTCTTCCCATCTGCTATACCTGGGTTGAAAAAATAAAGAAAGCATAAATTTTTATTGTTAGTTATGCCACAAACTGGCCCTGTTTTAATCACAATTGTTTAATATTTTTTTTGTTTTCCCAACAACTATTAATGGGTTTAAAAAATTAAGAAGATGTAAATTTTTATTGTTAGTTGTGACACAAACGACGTGGCCCTATTTTAATCACATTTTTTAATTATTTTTTTTGTTTTCCCAACAGCTATACATGGGTACACAGGGAGAGCAACATTCAAACAAAATGAGGAAACAAACAGAAAATTCAGAAGACAACCCAAATAGAGGGTGACTGGATGATGGACGCGTGGAGTGAATGGGCACAACAGTCATTCGACTGCACAAATGCAACAAGATGTGCAAAAGCGTCATCTCACTGTACCAAGCAGGTAAGACCACGGGAAACAAAGAAGACAACAAGGGGTATTTAAACCATTACACTGCTCGTGAACAGTGTTTTTCACCGGGTTTTAGTATCTAGATAATATCACAGAACATAAGAGAAAACAGCACAATGACCATATGAAGTTTGGAGATTAATGCAATTTCAATAGGAACCATCATGATGATATTTGTAAAATGTAATGTTGCTCTATTCATTTCCTTATTGATGCGCATTCATGTTTGCATTTATGTTTTCGCTCATACATACATAGGGAAGAGTATTATGCAAAGGAAATGCTAATAAGTTCATATTATACTATATATTTTATCATATTCTTAGTTATAGTTTATTGGTTATTTTGGTAAAATTTTAATACTTTGTTATATATTTTCAATGTAGAACATTTGACTTCCTCTGGAGCAAAAAGTAATCAAACGGTCAAATTTTGAAGTGATTCCAAGAGAAGGAGGTTCATGAGTCTTTCAAGATGATCTTAATTAAATTCTAGATTTTTTTACCAAGCCGTTTGACCGTGGTGAAGAAAATAAGGCCCAGTGCGCAGCTTTCCCAAATTGATGTTTCTAGATGTTTTGGGTATTTTGGAGGTCAAGATAGTATATTTTGAGGAATAATCTTTCTGAGGATTTGTTAAGGACATCTCAAGCTTTAAAAAGAGATCATTTGGGACCAAATTAGAGTTGATTTGGACGGTCACAAGTCTAATTTTCTAAGAAGTTCAAATTTCAATTCAAATAATAAAACCTTTTATTTTATGTTTTATTATTTTATTATGTTTCCTAGTTTTATTCTAAGACCTTTTAAGGCTTTATTTTGTAGTAGTTTAAATAAGGCTATTTAGCCATTAGGTTAAGGGAGAACACGCGCACTACTTTAGAGAGCTTTGGAAATTTATTTTCAATGTGTTTTCTTTCCATGTTCTTAATAATATTTTGTTTTATGATTGCTCGTAACTAAGTCTTTTGCTAGGGTGAAGCTATGAGCCTTAGCATGAATATGTGATTTCATTAATTTGCTTATGAATGGATGTATGCTTGCTTTGAATTATTAATCACCGCGATTAAACTATCTAATTGTGTTAGTGATTCGCGACTATTAGGATTTTTAGACAAATAATTTGATGCAATTTCTGTTGAAAAATCACCTTGAAATTGAGGAGGGGTTCTTGTAATTAGTAATTGCAAGTTCACTTAAAGCGAACATCACGCTCTTAAGGGTTGCATGGTTTTTCAAAGGGTTTTCACAAAGCTTAATGAGTCTTGCATGTTTATATTTGATCTGAACATTACATACGAGTTGCATGTTAGATATACGTTTTTGCTTGAATATCACGAGGATAATATGCATTAGGAAAACCTAACCTTCAAAGCATGTATGTCGAAATTCATAAGTAATTGGTAGAATTGCATAAAATTGTTAATGGTGACGGTAGAACCCTAGTGTTTAAATTGTTTTCCAAACCTTTTTTCTTTTGCTTTCTTTACTTTGCCAATTATTTAATTGTTTTTATTTAAATTCGTTTTTATTATTATAAATTCTAAAATCAACCTTTGCAAAACTTTGCTCTAAATAATTAGCTAAGAATTAGTTTAAATACAAATTATTCATTCAATCCTTGCAGAAAACGACCTTACTTGAGCCGTTTATACTACAACTACTTTGTACTCTTGCAAGTATTTTTATGTATTTTTATCCATACTTTTGCAAGTGATAAAAATACCTATCAAATGCCTACTCCAAATATCAAATCTTGCTCCCATGTGTACTATTATTTTGCAATGCCATGCTTTACATGGCCAGTAGCAGATGCCTGCACACTCTTTGTTATTCCTTCATCTTTGGATATAGTATCTTAAGATTAACTCTCTACCATTGATGACATGCTATATATAGCAGCAGTAGGTTCGCTGGTAAACAAGGTCGGGGACTTGATTTTTTTAGTTGCTATAACTAGTCATTAACATCACAATTAAGGTGATGTTTTGCTTTTCAGAATCAAACCTCTTCTAAACATTTTTACATGCATTTCTAGTTGCTGGTTCCCGGTTTTAGCAATAATGTGATTCAAATTTGCCTTTGATGAGAATTGAATCTAATGCCTCTCACTTACAAGTGAAGAAGATTACCACTAGACCGTAGTACCAAGTGGCATACCCCAACCTCCAATTAAAATGAGAGGAATTGTTAGAAGAGTATGTTGGAAATTAATTGATGCCAGAGTATCAGGTTAATACTCATGTCTGTTTATTTCTTATTAATCTAGCCACTCTATGAGTACCCTTTGGAATGAGGCTTGATGCCCTTCTGTACTAGACGTAAGCTCAATCGATGTTCTAGTTGAAAAATGTTTCGGCGTGTTATT